CACGCAGACTTTCGAAACAGCGAGGGCTTTGGATATGCACATTAGGGCCTCCCTACACTACTCTCCCCATGAGCAAAACGAGTGTGTGAATCTTCCCCGTGAACATGGAAAGATACACCACCATGATTTTTGTCTTTTGTGCATGTCCAGAGTAGTAAAGCCAGGGCCTTGTAATCGCCCCCTTTTTTTTGTTTTTCTGCAAACCTGCTGTTTCGGGACGTCCTTTCCACAAGACCACTCACGACCTTTCGAAGAAACACTCGTGACAGGCGGGCGGATCTTGCCCTTTCGAAAGTAATTTCGATGCCCGCGTCTCTGTCACCTTTTGAAAGTTTTTCGAAAGGACTCGTTTCAAAAACCTGTGTGGCAACGATGTGGCATCCATTTTGCACGTTTCGAAAGGCTGTGTGGCGAGGCCCCACCTCTTTTCAACGGAATTTTTTCGAAAGGACTTGTTTCGAAACCCTGTGTCGCGAAGATGCAGCATCCATTTTGCACGTTTCGAAAGGTTGTGTGGTGAGCCCCTACTTCTTTTCAACGGAATTTTGCACACGGCAATGCCCGACGAAACAGTTTGTCACAGCCACTCATTTGTTGTCCTATTTTCCCTCTCTGCCTATGGTTTACCGGGCAGCTCTGTTTGACTATGGGCCTCGCCACACCACTCTCGAATCTCGAAAATTCGTGAGTCGGGCACCGCCACACAGCATCGCTCGAAAAAAAAACTCGAAACTGTTCGAGAGCTGTCAGAAAGGCGTTTTCGAGTGCCCTCTCGAAACGATGTTTTCGCCCAGCCTGCAGCGTTGGAGTTTTCGTGATACCGCCCCTCCGCGCTCGAGTTCGACGTCCATTTCGAGAGTTGTCACTGGCAGACCGTTTTTTGTGGTGCCGCCCGTACGCGCTCGACTTCGTCCATTTCGAGAGGCCGGTCTAGTGTGCTATGTGGCGAAGGGCCATTTCCTCTCGAAAACCGGCCTCTCGAAAAATGCTGACAGCTCTCGAATATTTTTGAGATTCGAGAGTGGTGTGGCGAGGCCCTATATATATATTCAAGACAGAGCTTTGACGCCTCACAGTCTACGTGGAAAAAGCAAAAAAAAAAAAAAAAAAGGGCAATGCGTTTTGCAGCTTTTGCTTCCTGCCATCAGCAAAAGGGGGACTCACGAGTTTTGTCCAACGACTGTATCGAGCCGGAAAGATCGCTTGCATACATACACATGTGACACATTCATAATGGGGGAGCACTGTGTTCGGGGGAAGACTGTAACACCGTAGCACCCTCTTTTTTGGGGGGGTGACTGCACAGTGGTCACAAAAAAAGTTTGCAATTGCATTCCAAACACAGTTTCTTCCGTCCACTTAAAATACAGTCCAAACTCCGCTTTGCAGAAAAGTCACGCCACGGAGTTTGAGACTGCAGTCTAGTTTTTTTTTTGTTTGGGAAAACTGCAGTCTAGTTAGCCACACGGGAGGGCCCGGTATGCCTGGAAAAGAGGAGAGACAGCACAGGCCATTCCTGAACGAATCTGCCCCCGACTTTGCACCGAATGAAGCGCAAAGTCAGGGGCAGATTCATTCAGGAACGGTGAGAGAGAGAGAGAGAGAGAGAGAGAGAGAGAGAGAGAGAGAGAGAGAGAGAGAGAGAGAGAGAG